CGAAGTAAGGATTGGCACAACCTTGGGCCTACTGGATCAGTGCGGTCCTGGCCCAAAGATGGTGTGAGCCCTTCTCCTTTCAAATCAGGGCCAGTTGCACCGATGTGTAAACTACTCCCTGGTGGAAACCAAGTTGTGAAGATCAGAACAGACATTGCACACACATACGCCATCAACGGATACGGGAAGGACGATCTTGCAAGTGGGATAATTTTTCTGGCAGTTCACTGCTGTTTGTGGGGAGGAACGAACCTGGATCTACAGTTGGACAAAGCGTACATGGCATTCAAGGAGTGGTGCGTTTACAACAGAAAAACAACATCTATACAAGCCTTTGACAAGCAAACACTGAAGATATCATCGCTTCTTGCATGGTTTTGGCCATATGTTCGAAAGTTTTTAGATTTCTGCGGTGTGCAGCTGCACATGCCGTTTGGTCGCGTCCACCCCGGCTGAGGCTGAAGCAATTTCCACGAGGACTTGGAAAAGGATTTGACGCCGCCTTGATCGGGGGCTGGCTGGGGGATGTGATGGAAACAATCTCCGACGACTCAGTCCCGGCTACCCAGCTAGTATGTACCGGTTCAATTTGTTTTTATGTTTTGCATGTATTTGTTCAATGCATGTTAGTTCAAACCGAAAACTTCATCAATTGAGGATCGCTGCCGCGACATCCTCCATGTATTTCGGTGGGGCATATTCTCAACGAACAAGTTCTTTCGACTGATCTACAGTGAGAACCACTTGTGGCTCTCCCGAGCGACAGCACTTGAGGTTGTTCGCCATGGATGGAACATGCTCGTGTCTAGAATGCATTTTCTTAGCATGCAATGGTAGCTGGCGGCTAATTTGGGAACCCATGAGTGTCAGGAAAGCTATCATGGATGTGCCAGTTTGGCTTCAACCATGAAGTGGAGCTTGTGGTACATACGCCCTAAGTGCCACATGATGGCGCACGTCATGACACATGTCTGCAGCAGTGTTTGCAGTACAGTAGCATGCACATGCATACATGAGGGTTGCCCCCTTAGCTAAGTAGAGACCTGGAGAATGACATCAGTGGGGGTGCCCAATGGTGCCTCAATCCTGCCTGCCTGAGCCTAAATTTTATAGAATGCAGCTCAAGATGATCAGTGCATGAGCTGTAGTGCCATGAGTAGCTTATAGCACACCCTCTGAGGTACTGCCACATGGAGCGATGAAGATTACATCGGCCGAGTTTCACGTACCGCTAGAAAGCAACATGCTATCCAGCTAAGCTGGACCACTATCCAGCGATGTTTGATCGCCTACAAAAAGGAATGGCAGACAAACTGCTCGCTGGGCTGAGGGCCAAGCGGATTGGATCGAAGAAGCTGATGGGCAAGAAATAGTGTGGGTGCACTGTGCTGGTGCAGGCATGTGTGTGTGTGAACCTATATAGTTTGAGGTTATTTCCGGTGAACTTAGCGTTGCCAACTGGTCAACGCACAGAAAATTATCAAACGAGCACTTTTCAGTTGAACGAGCGTTTTGTATCTCGAGCGAATATTTGTGTTCATTTGAAGGTCTAGGATATATCATGGGGGGGTGTCCATATATACAAAAATATACCCTGGAAGTCAAGTCGACCATGTTTATATGGTTGATCTGGTTTTGTAGTGTAAAACCCTGAGTAAAACAATGGTGGTTCGGTAAAAGGCTATTAAAACAATGGTGGTTCGACTTCTAGGGTGTATATATATATATACACCCGGGAAGATGAACACGCACAGAACCATTAGATAGAACCCAGGTTCCATAGGTGTGTTTGGCTGTATATATATATACCCTATGAATCAAAGTACTCGTTAAACTGGTCCTTAACTAAAGGCCTACTTTTACTTTTGAAAGAACGTACTTTACTTTGTCTAATCACGACTCCATTAACATGCTAGCACAGGATTTGCATGAATGTTCATACGTTTTGCAGGTGGTCATGGCATGTTCAAGCTGCAAAAATGTAGCTGGTCGGCATCATGCATGTCCGACATATGAAAAACATGCATGGATAGAAGGATCCATAGATAAACATGGATAGATCACTGATCAACTGTCTAGATTCCACTTCGTTGCCCTGTCGCTTTGGCCTCGCGCATGGATGAAACGCGCTCTTCGGAAGAGACTCTCGGCTAGTATCTGGTGATAAAGCTACAGTTTTTGAGGGCTTTTCAGGGTGGATTGCCAGCACTTCCTGCAACAAGGAGCCTACGAGAAGAGAGTGGAGGTCGTGTCGGATGAAGAAGGTGCCTTTGGCATGGATTTGGGGACAATTCGTGTGTCCAACCCGTTCCCCACAAGTCCAAAGACCCAGTAAAACCTCCTTAATTATTGGTTTTGTGTGACCATCCCCAGTAAAATGAGGTCTTTGACTTGTAGGGACGTTGGATTGGACGATGTATGTTCGCAGGCTACATGCGAGCGGCTCATAATCATGAGACAATTTACGCTAGTTGGCTGGCCTCAAGTTGGCCCCAGTGCACTTACAGCTGGAATTCCCGCAGCTGTGGTGGGTAGGATTTGAACGAGGCACAGTGCATGCCCTCCTCCTCAGAACTCTTGGGGGGTTGTTCCTTCATCCAAATGTTCTGTGAAGTACCATGTCCCACAATGGCAATTTCCTACGACTAGCTGTTGTCCTTTGGATTGCTGCCATGCCTGATTCCCGACCGCGGGATGCAGTGGTGGATGTGCTGAAGGCTCGCTTAAATATGGCGCTTGAAATCATGATCCCTTTTTTTATGGGGTTCCTTCTGGCACAATACCCCCAACACATGCACAGGAATTCTATAGAGATCGACTTGCTGATGGCTGGAAATGGATTCGGGTGGAGCGCCTTTGCAAAGAGAACAACATCCCGAACTATCGAATGATGCGTGACTTGAAGAAACATCGTGCAACTGGGCCCAAACTTATTTGGGATCTTGGCATGCATGCTAGGGGTTCCTGGCATCGCTACTAGGGGCTGAAGGACGCTACTAGGGGCTCCTGGCATCGCTACTAGGGGCTGAAGGACATTACTATAGGGGCTCCAGTCATCCCTACTAGGGGCTGAAGGTCGCTACTAGGGGCTCCTGGCATTGCTACTAGGGGCTGAAGGACGCTACTAGAAGCTCCTGGCATTGCTACTAGAGGCTGAAGGACGCTAGGGGCTGAAGGACGCTAGGGGTCGCTACTAGGGGCTGAAGGACGCTACTTGGTATGGGCTCTGTGTGGGTGATGTCATTTTCGGTGCGCGCTTTATCCTAGGCATGCACTATGTACTTGGTATGGGCTCTGTGAGCGCGCTGGAAGGATCTTGCAACTTGGCTGCAATATATTGATCGATCGACAATCCATACAACCGCTTTCCGATCACATTGCCTGAGCAGTGTGTGAGTTTTGCCAGTAGTGGCCATGCACATGCAGATTTGAGGACCGCTGCAGAAGCCCAAGCCATTCATGATGCGGGGCTGTCCTTTTGCAGATTGCACCTCATGCTGACAAGGCTAGCCATCAGGCAAGAGGATTCAAGTTCGACAATGCGTGTGTGTTCATATCGTTCTTCAAGTCCTCGAAGTTTACTGGCGCTAGTTCGTGGTCGAAGGTATCAGGTTCTTGTGTGGGTGAAAAGAAATCGCTCTTAATACGTCTGCAAGATTGCAGCAAAACGTGCGCATTAGGACCAACACTTTTTCAAGAGTTGGAACGATATAGAGGCCTACCCAGAGCTGATGGCAATGGGTATACATGCAAATTTGTTTTGAATTGCGCAGGCAGCAGCGAGTGGCATGGTTGCTGAAACCGAAGCTTCACATGTACAAGCATGTCATCAAACGAACGCTGCATTGGCTTAACTGGATGCTGATTTCAAGCTTGGTGTTGAGATCTCATGAGCTATTTGCCAAAAAAGTGAGACCTGCTGAAGGTCACAAATCACGCCACTGGTCCTGCTTTAGCGAAGAAGATTCGATTGGAGTCCTGAAACACGTTGCTCGTCATGTATCTGGTGCTCAGAGCGAGCAGTATCTCTGCAAAATTGCCCGGCTCAGGCCCTGTGAATGATCAAATTGTGTGCAATTCATGTGCATTTGCTTGTGAGTATGCATGAAAACATACTTCGGAGTATATATACGCATATGCAGATATCAACTGCTGGCCAGGCTGAAAGTAGCCAAGAAACGGATGAGAAGGACTTACAATTTGCTGCAAAAGTGGCAGTTGCAAACTGATGTTGAATATTGAGACTATTTTTGCAAGATTGTGTTAAGATTTTATCGGTTTTTGCTGCAGGATTGACATGGTCGCAGCCTGGAATCGTTGAGAAGTGGAGCTTGCTCGGAGAGAGTGCCAGAAAAGTGATCGGAAAGCGGCTGGTTAGTGAAAGTAGTCCCCGATCGCATGGTACTCGTTAAACTAGTCTCCCGGGTCCGCAGGGATATATATATATATATACACCCTAGAAGTCGAACCACCATTGTTTTAATAGCCTTTACCGAGCCACCATTGTTTTACTCAGGGCTTTACACACCAAACCAGGTCTTTGATTTCCAGGGTATAATATATACATATAGACACCCCCCCCATGATATATATATATATAGACAAAAATGGAACCACGACATATTATAATATATATCCACTACATAGAACCTGAAAATGGATTTTTGGAATACTATTTTCCACAACCAAGTGATTTTGCAGGTTCCATGTGGTTCACGGAACCGTAATGACATGCCTTTCACTCAGTGGTCCCGGACACGGTAACTCCCACTTGTTTTATAAAGAGGTCAAATGGGTCACGACGAGGTCAAGCGTTGCATTCCCTCCCAACACGGCGAAATGAGATCTCGTGAACGGCGTGACTTCTTTCTTTCATGAGTTTCAGAGATGAAACCACGAAAGACCATTCCTAATTCCACCCCAATGTAGACATGTATAAATAAAAACATGAATTTAATTATCGTTATTAGGACTGCCAATGGAGTCTCAAATTGACCCAAACCGCAGACCTTCTTTGGCAAACGGCCGCCCTCGGCCGCCGGTGCCCATGGTGGCGTACTTGGGACGTGCCCCCGCGGCGCTCGGGGAACGCTGCGTGGGCGGCAAGCAGGTGGACGGTCTCAAAACGTGCCGGGTGGCGGTGGTGGCGGGCCCGGGACGTGGGGACCGTGGTTGGAGGTGAAGCCATGGAGTCTCTGAGTCTCTGCCAACTGGGATGTTTTCGTTAAAAGCTGGAGGTCGAACCGTGCCACTGTGGATGATTTGATTTGGAATCTTCCCCCATTGGGAGTGCAAAACCTCTTCAACATGTGGGCGGTTTTGATTCATTGAACGTCAACATTAGCCGCATTAGCTACATGCTTGGGACACGGCCTAGCTGGAGTCTCAGTTTATACCTCAGAAAATGGTTGCAAGTACCTGTTCAAATAGGGTCATGTCCTATTTGGTCGAGGGTGATCCTTGCTCCAAGCCTTAATTATGCAATCACAAACAGTGGGAAAAAACCGCATACAGCGACACACCACTGTATGATACAGCCAGATCACTTCTTTGCACATGTCACCATTTGCACAACACCGCAGCAACAACTATAAAAAACAACGCGACTTGCAAGATGCACTGCATCCTGAATGGCAGATGTCCTCCCACAACAGTCCCACAAAAAGCAGCTCCCTGACACCAGACGTCGTTTGGTCGTCGATCCTGTTCGGTCAGAACTGTCCTCGCCGCCTCGTGTCTGGACCGAGGTGGGTCACAAGGCATCCCCATACCCAGACCATCCATGTATGGAATGCTTAACTAAAGGGTCGTAGATGTAAATGTATGTATACTAACTGTACATGTAACTATTCCATTATTCCATGCATGGAGTGTTTGGGTTATGACACCAGTTCCTATACGCCTTCCGCTTGCACGACGATTCAAGTGGCCTAACAAGAGGTTGGACATCTCTCCGTGATGTCGGAACCTCTAACATGTATCCGAGAGAGGCTACCTAAACCCTATATGGATGCACATACCTCTGAGCAAGTGATTGGAGCCACTGTTACCTTTGCTTGGAGGGTACAAGTACCTTCTGAGAAGGTATGTGGATCCCGGGCCTACAAAAGAGGCTTGCAAGCACTGCAAGATGCTGCAAGAGTGTGAAGAAAACCTAGCGTTTCAGCCATTTTTTAGGGGGGTTGCATAGTTGTTGATTCTCATCGTATTTGGAGGTGTTTAGGGTTCACATGTCAAATGGCTACTGTATGCTATTGTATGTATTGTTTGCATAGTTTAAGACAAATTATCATATATAAGAACCGCTCCTTCTTTGTACCCTTGCAGCCTGTGAGTGATCCACGATGGACATGTGGAGCAAAGCGGAGATGGAGATGCAGGACTTGTGTTATTGTTTTCATGTGGGTCCAACATGTTTGGACTCGGACTCTCAACCTCTCAACTCACCTACCCTGCAGACTCCGACTCTCAACCCCCGACTCCGAGGGAAAATGGTTGAAACCACGGTGGTCATGAGACCATCACTCCGTGTGGTCCGTTTGCCCTGCCCGGTGTCCGACTCGGCGCGGTCGAAGCGGTGGGTTTCGATCGCCAGGTGCGAAGGACGCAGTGGAAAGGCAGCAGCGGTCACTCGCAAACGACGAAGCGGATGGGTCGGGGAGGTCGGTCAGAGGTCGGACGTCTGCAGGGCCTCAGCTAGGGTGAGCTGCGACCTAATGGACTGAACATGAACTCGGATATCGTGTTTGGACAACATGTTTGTTGCAGGGGTCTGTCAGTACCCAGACACGACTAATGGGACTGCCATAGATGATCATAATTGATCATTTATGCCCATCAGTATCCATCAGTTGGGGTCGTTTCAGGGGTCAATGTAGACATATATATATATATACCATGGAGTGTCTGTCAGTATTCAACCTCGGATGGTAACGACTGGAGCCCTGATGTATTTGGTTGGGGACGATCATTCCCAAGATTTCAGGTGGGTCGAAAACGGTCAAAACCAGCTCAGTCAAGTGGCAGACTGGACCGAGAGATGCTGACGGACCGAGAGTGAGATGCGACAAGAGAGATCGCTCGAGAGATCGCTTGGGCGAGCTGGGTGGTGAGCTGGGACAATCCAGGATGGTTTGTGGTGTTGGCCTGAGGAGATTCTGGCTGCCATCTGTAAACATGTCACGAAAGGTCGTTTTTGTAAACATGTCAAAGGATGTGTTCATTGATAGCAAAAACAGTAGGCAGTGGTTGCTCACGAGTTCTCCAAGTTGAATATCCGTCCCACAAGTTCAGGGAAATCACCACCCATTCCACTGCAACTTCCCTGGAAAAGTCACTGTTCCATACCGTTCCTTTGATCGGATTCAGCTCAGGGGTTGAGTCCGTCATGCCCAATCCATCCAAACTCCAACTTGAGATCTTCTTCCAGAGGCCCACCTGGCCCACCTCCAAAGTCGGCCCACTTCCTAAGGTGGCCCCATCGATTTGGATGTGGAGGGCATCCTTGAGCGGGTGGGGCTGCCGGCAACCGCGTGCGCTTGCGCCGTTCGACGGTTCTGACGCAGACGGAGAACGGTCGACCGAGAGGCACACGGTGGGTCGACCCGGAGAACGCTCGACCCATTGGCCGGATCAAGCTGCCACACCGGGAAACTTTGGGATTGGGGGCCAACTCCGACAGATGGAAACAGGTCGGAAGTGGGTCTGACGGTCAGCACGGTAAGTGGATCGGAGTGTGTAGAGGAGTAGAAGGGTGTATGAGAAAGACACATTGGATTAACACCCCTGGTCAAAACACATCCGTTTTTGAGGGGGATACCTGCACCAAAATAGTAAGTTTGGAAGGTATTTTGGACACTCCTGGAGACATCTCAGAACAATGCCTTTGTACGTTTGTTCTCTTTGGTTGGGATCTGTTACGATGAACACCTGAACACCAGCTCGTGCGACTGCCCTGCTGAGCAGCACGTTCTTCGTTGAAAAGACACGCCACGCCGCTGCGGAGGTGGAGATCCATCCTCTCAAGGGCCCTAAGCTCCTCCAGGCACCTCTCTACCACGTTGGGGTGGGAGAAACATGGAGGAAGCATGGCATGTACATAGAGTCACGGTGGAGTTCATGTGCTCGGAAAAGGTGTTGTTCTTGACGGACTAGCCGTGCTTTGGATTCATGGGCGTGAACGCCATCAGTTGACTGCTTTCTTGATTGGAGACCTGGCATGCGGAGGGGGTCTAGAAACCACCCTACGGAGGGGTCGTGCTGGTATGTCCTGTTTTCTGGTAACAACCCCAAAGTTGTGTAGAGTTACTAGAAAACCGCATCGACTATAGCCTTCCGGAGGGTCCATTTTCACGCTCCATGTTAGTTCCCTCATGGTTCCCTCAACTCTTTGTTAAATAGGTTTCTCACATGTTTTCAAACCATTGAACACCATTTCCTTTACTTATTCGTGCAAAGTGCCAGGCCGTGCCTCGTCTTCTTCGACTTCTGGGAGTTGGGGTCGACCCCACTGCTGTTCCCCCCCACTGCGCCAGGCCGACGGGAGCGATGGCTACTTCCCCGAAATCCGCCGCTGGGAGACGAGGGAGGGCGGCGCTGTTTTCACGCCCCGAAAACGGTGGACGCCGGCGTTTTCAAACGGCCAAATTGACAACGGCCGAATGAACATGACTCACATGAAGACAGGCACAGATGGATTTAATGGATTTCGGAATGGGTTTCTATACTTTATTATTCAAGAAAAGATTTGAAGGAGTGGCACGTCGCAGATTTGATGAACGCAATCATATATAATATAAATCATCGATATGCTGGGGCCATGGATATAAGAGCCATGGGTTATACCGTTATACCCTCCGTAGTAGGGACTTGATCTACTGAGTCTACTGGGTGGATGTGCTGAGAAATCTCAAGCGTAAATATTCACAACTTGGAAATCGTGGCAGCATGATACAATATGACAAAGCTCTTGAAGTTTGAGCTGTTGGGATTTTTGTGGGAAACCTGATGCAACAGGGTGAGCAGGGGTGAAGTTTGCCGCAGCTGCGTGTAAAGATTGTAAATGCCGACCATGATCTATACAATCCTGGAAACATTTAGCAATGAGGACCCGGCAACGAGGAGGAGATAGGAGGAGTCATGTTGTTACCTCCAAACTCCCAATGCCAACGCGTCCGAAGGTGGCGCGATGCTATTCAGACAGACTCGGCGGTGGGGTGCTTACTTATCCCACACACGACTAATGGGACTGGTATATATGTCTACATTGACCCCTTTTCAACCACCCCAACTGATTGGCATATATCATAGTCCCATTAGTCGTGTCATGGGTGTTTGTGTTCCAGTTCGCAGTGGACGATTCGAACCATCATACGTATCACCCGCATGTGATTCGTGCGGCGCATGCTGCGTGCGCAGCACGTATCACCCATCACACGCGGCTCTCCGGGGAAGGTCTAAGCGGTTTTTCACACCGGTGCCATGGTGCCACGGTGGGCCCGAGTGGGACGCCCCAAGGACAAAGACCTTGGGACCAGATGCCCACCGCGGACCAGCGCATCATGGCCTATCGAGCGGCAGCTTGGTGAAGCGAGGCAGGAGAAGGTTCTCTGGGGTTGTTACGTTCGTAGCGATGCCCTTGTTACTAGTATAGCTTCTTGTTACTAGTAGCGATGGCCTCCAACCTACTTGCGATGGCCTCCACCTAATAGCGTCTTGCTACTAGTAGCATGTCTGCCTGAGGTCCTCTTTACCCAAGAATCCTGCTCTACAAGTGCTTACAAGGATGAGTGAACACCTCCTCCATTTTACCCAAAAACGCTGTTGCATCAACAACTTGCCCTTCTTTGGGTGATGATGTGTTATCTTATGTTTTCTTGCTTGACGCTGGCTTTTTGTTTCAACACGTTGCTCCCCAAACGGTGTGGGTTCTACCTTTTCTCCCACATCTCATCACTGGCCTCAGCTGCAAGTGGAGATGGGGGCTCCCTCACAGACCTAGAGTCTCTGTTCAGGAACTGGGTACATTTGTCCCGGTAAACCTGTCAGAGTTGGGTTCAACAATTCTCACCAAATATACTTGCAGAAAGGCCGCAGTATACTAACCAAGCATACAAAATCCACTGTTGCACAGAATGTGACAGATCATGACAGATCCAATATGATCCAATTTGTTTTTAATATAGGGTCATGTCTGTCCTATTTTCTAGGGTACGAAAGTAATGCGAAAGTTCCATTCGTCGTGTTTGGGTTTGCTGTGTTCGCTAGCTCGTGCACATGCCCGTCTTTGGGACACCGAGATCCTCAGATTCACCCGGTTCCTGCGCTATCCATGCCGGTTCTCCGGTTCTCAAGAGGAGTCCACCCCGGCCGACGGGGACTGGACCGTCATATACTGGAGTTGATCATACAAAAACGCTACTCAAAGAGGTAAAGGACCAGGTTTTATTGGGTCTTCGGACTGAACCTGTACCATCCTGTACCCCTGTGCGCCATACCGGGCTTGACCGAGGCCAAGCAAAACCGATCGACCAAGGCCTGGTGAGGATGGAAGGCGTTTTGAGGCGATATCCAGGTGAACCAGGATGGGCTTGGGACTGGACTAGGCTTGGGCACTTCAAATACTTGCAATACTTGGCAACTCGGAACTGGCCTGTCTAAGCTTTGTGAGGCCTTGAGTGTGACTCACTGCCCGTCCCCTAGCTAAGTTGTTTCGGGGTTTTAGCTTAGTAGGCGGATGTTCTTCTTTCCCGGGGTCATTCTCACCTTCTGGAGAAGAAGCGTTTGATTCTTTCCGGCTCACCGGAACCGCCAAATCCACAAATCCAAGGTCACAGAGTCACCTTTTGAAACAGACGATCCATGTCTTTTTCCACAGCAGAGCCCCGAAGAACAGTAAAACGCCTTGGGCGGGTTGTTCTCAAGTCTTTCCGATCCCAGAATTGCTTTGTTGGGTCAACATCGCCTTCATCAGGGTATTCACATGTGTTCACACCCAAAAGGATGGTGTGAGAACCGGTATATAGGTTCTCTTAAACGTTCTCTTCAACGATTCGACCGATGACAGGCCCTCTTGGCAGACCAGCAGGCTCAGGCGGAGTGGAGCAGCATGCCACCCGCCGAGCGCCTCGCGCGGCGGTGCGCCACGGAGATCGCCAGGTGCGAGGGGACCAAAAGAAAAGGGCAGATGGAGTTGCTTCTTTCTTTAACAAAATTGCTAGCTGCCCGCTGGTGGTCAAAGTTGTTTTGTTATGTGTTGCTTTTTGTTGTTTTTTGCGAGTGTTTCAAACTTGCGCAATGCTCAAGGATGGTCAATCTAGGAACACATCATTCACATCACATCCAAATACCTTCAACCAGAGACGCGGTGGACCCTCTGAAATGAAAACCTTCAGGGCCCCCCTTAAACCCACCGTGGCACACCAGCACTCCTTCTCACAGACATTGAGCCCCCGTTAAGGAGGATCTTCGCGACACCGGAATATATCCGGCAACCCCCCCCCGACCCCAAAAAGCACCGACCGCGACCATATACCGAGACCCATCATGGGTATCCCACGGTGACCTCACGTGCACAGTGACCTCTAGCAGGTAACCGAAGACCCCAGCGCGGTCTTCGTCGGACGTTGTGTCTTCGTCGCAGGAAACCGAAGAGTTGGAAGCCCATCAGCCATGAGACGGCCACGCGTCGATGGCATGGGTCGACCCGTTTTTGGGGGGTTATGTCGGACGGTTTTCGGTCTCTGGTGTGGGTAAGAGCGGTGGGAAGGAGGGCGAGAGTCCATCGTACCTTCCAAGACCGGAGCCCTAGGGTATAGCCATGCGTGTGGATGGCGAAAGAAGGTAGGTCTATGGCGCCATCTCCTGTGTTGGTGTGGTCTATGGGCAGGATCACAATAGGACCAAACAGTCTTAAACAGCGATCCTGCAGTCCCTACTTGGGTCTTCCTCGACCACATCCGAATTGGCCCATGGATGTTCTTCGTAGTTAGCGTTTTTGCAAACCGAACTGACTGACCCACCTGTTTGATCCTGCTTGAGCCACTGTTTGGCTCACCGTGGTTGTTGACCAGCTCGATTTCAGCGTCGAAACCCCGGAAGGTTTGAATCCAATAACTTGGTTTGATCAGTTTGATCCAAATTGATCCAAATTGGATATTGACTCATTTCTGAACCAGCTCGAGCTAAAGGTCGACCATCTATATTCTTAGGAAGACCTGCAAGCCTGCAAGGAGAAAAACAGCGGGTAGAGATGAGAGTCCAACAAGAACAAGAACATGACCAGTACACGCGGGAAGAGACCCACATGGAACCTGATGGCATGGACCAGACTGGAACATACTGGAACACTGAAGACGAGGAAATCCTCCACGAACCAGGCTCTCCTGGATGTCATACACACCCATCTAGCTTCCGGAAGCGGAGAGGTCGGGGAGGTCCAGACTGGCGGAAGGTAGGTCACAGCCCACCCACTGGATCCCAGTTACCACTGGTGACCACTAGTAGTGAACCAGGAGCCCTCACTCAATCAATCATTTTAGTGTTTGGATCCACTGGTGACCAAGCCATAGTGGCAACTAGCTCCACTGGGTCAATGTTGAGGCATGTTGAGGCTGTTTGTTCATGCATGTTGAGGCTCTTTGTTCATGATGTTCCCATCATATACACGGACTCAATGTCAGTTGCTTACCGTTACAGCCGGGTGTTTAATCATGTTTTGTAGTGACAAGACTCGCTGATCCACCCCTGTGGGGCTATTTCATGAATTAATGAACTTTCACGTTTACTTCCAAAAACGACCGGCCGACCATCACTTCTTGCGCTGCTTGGAACCACTCGCAAAATGGGTTCCCGGTTTTTGTATGGATTCTGAGGTTCGGGACAAGCACACCCAGAAGTGCAAGGGCATTTTCTACAACATGGAGTTTCCGTGGCCCCTTCGGCTGAGCACGGGAGGAAGGGAGCCATGTATGTTGGCCTTCCAATGGGTACGGGACGAGTACGGATGATCTTTTGAACGTTGTTGCTTCAAAACTCTAGTTGTTGTTTCACCCCTAACTTATGCTTCAATGTTGTTAAAACGTGCTTTGTTGCAAGAGCTGTTCTTGTTCTTGTTTTAAAGCACGGAAACTACGTGCCTTTTGTTGTGAAATCCACTTCCCCTCGATGGACCCGTGGTCGGGTTGTTGAATTGAAAGGCATTCTTTTGAGGCTCAGCACATCCCGCTGGCCAGGCTCCATCGCCCACTCAGGTCGGAGAACACCCTCAAGGAGATGGGCCCCCAATGGCTCACCAAGGCGGATGTGGCGCTTCGGCAGCGAGGTTTCATGATATTTCATGGGATACACCGCTCCACTGGCAGCGAGGTTTCATGCGGTCTTTTTTCATGAGAGGTGAGGCTGAGGAGTTTGCTCCAGGGGTCTGCGGCTGGGGTGTTTCAATCTTCGCTTTCTTTTGCCACAGGCACAGGTTGGGTCCCTTTCATGGGTCTTCTAAGCGCCACAAGACATGGTCAAGTTGTGCACTTAATACACGGCTCTAATTACCTTCTGAGAGGGTGTTGGGGTGGGCTTGAGAGATCAAACCAACTGAGCAACGTTTGTTATTGGCATGTAAAGGTTTATATATGTTTATATGAAATTGGAACTGCACCATAGCCCGCGAAGGCAATTTTCACTGTTATATATGTGCATGGATGGAGGCATGCGAAGCCAAATCGCGTAGGCCCACAATTATTATTTGCGAAGGCAACTTGCGTATGCAAAACATCCTTTAAGTCATGATGATTATTTTCTTGCAGTAATGATTAATGATAATCTTTTGCGGTTGTGGAGACCCTGTCTCTTCTGGAATATAGTGTTTCTTATCCCTGGAGGGAAGTGTTCGCGAAAGCATATCGCAAAGGCACCACGCAATACAAGTTTAGACGCGAAGGTACCCTTTGCACCAAAATATGTCTCGCGAAGGCTGATGCGAAGGTGCTTCCAGTGTATAGGCCCCGTAGTCACCAAAAAGACACTGCTCAATGTTTCAATATTTTTGTCCCCTGTTCTCAGCCTTATCAGATGTGCTTCAAAGCACACAAATGTGTTAGAAAGGCTATCAGATGCTATCATTAACCTATAGAAGAATAACAACATGATTCCATGATGTGTCACTTCTTACAGTGAGGGAGGAGACGTAGTTCGGTGTAATCAGGTGTTATCTGTCGATTTTTCTTGCCACTCACCTGTCCCAACATCGCTGGGCGTGCGCAAAGGGATGGCAGACGCCATGCGTCAAGATGGACCATAAATAGGACGGGTACATGACGGGTATACGTTGGCGTGCTGGACCCCTTAGTTGTGACACACACACACACTGGAGAAAGAGCGAACATGCGAGCGATATTCAGAGTGGGTCTCGGCGAGCACGAGCCCTTTTCTGCGAAACACCCAATTAGCACTTTGTGGCGTTCGCATGCGTTAGCCCTTGAACATACGTCGAAACACCGAAGGAGACAGCGTGGTCACTGAAAATGACGAGCTACGCCGCATCCGGACCTGGCATCCGGACTCGCTTCGCCAGGCTTTCCACGCCGCGGGCACCTTGGACGAACGCAACGCGGTGACCGAGTTGATTCTCGAGAAGCGCAAGGCGACGGCGCACCGGACCTGCCAAGGACCAGGGCTGAGAGGGGCCGATCAGGGGTCCATTGATTTCAGGGATGGATCGGTATATCTTCCAGTCTCATTGGGCGGGTGCTTATCCACGACTGAAGACTCGACTTGCAAGACGGACGAGCTGGCAACTGGTCGTTTTGGGCTCATGGGATGCGGACCTAACACCGGTAAAAATGAGCAAGTCACCCCAGCCACAACAAGATCGACAATGAGCTACTATACCATGCCCTACCCACCAACAAGAAGTTCACCATGAAAAGGATGTCCCTGCGGCAGGTGACTGCTGGGAACAACTCGGGCAAGCTGCTTGGGCAGACTGTGGGACCGTGGGATCGTATTTTGGCTCCTGCGGCCTGCAGAATGCGAGGAACTCAGGCTCCAGTCATAGCTTCGTTTCGGTTCGGTGGGACGACCGGGGCCCGGGGGCCCTGGTCGGGTCCAGTCATACCGAACCGGAGGAGGTACGACTGGAGGCCGATCGGTCGACCGTTTAAGGCCACTTTTGGTTGTTCCACGACTGGGCCAAGCATTTTGGCACAGCCTTGGCTGTGGGAACAAGGCCAAGCCTCCTGAAACAGTTTTCGTACAGATGAGTGAAAGAATGTGAAAGAAGACATGTGCAGCAGACACTTGTAAAGAAGGAATGGCAGATGTTGAAAAGGAACACATGGTTCTGTGTGTGTGTCACTTTGGTGCTGTACTTGTTCCAAGTTGAGCAACCGGACTTGGAGGTGTGATATCCCCTCAGGGTTTGCCAATTCTGCAAGACCACAAGTCTGTGAACAGCACAATTTCCACAAGGCACTGTCCAAGTGGGTTGCAGACGTGCATGTACAGCATGTATGCACATGTTACATGTTCACTATAGCCCCTTTAGGCTGAGAAAAGGAAAGCTGCCCATCTACAAAAAAAAGCCACTGTGGTGTTGCGCAAACGACCACTTGTGCTCAGTGCTCAGTCAGGAACCCGAAAGACGCCCACACCACAGCCCTTTGGAACGACGTACGGGAGTGAGTTCCCGAAGCCTTTGCGAGCAAAAGCATGCCAAAGCAGCCGACTTGATCGACTTCCATATATAGTTTGAATCGCTATAGGTCCAGTTGCACCTCGCCTCCCCTCTCCACATCCACATCCAGTCGAGTTGGAACCTCAATGGGAACCTGGTGTTTACGTTCATTTTGCGTTGAACAGGTGGTGTTTTGTAAGTTGGACACCCTTTAAGAGGTCCTCGAACCGGTAGGAACCAATCTAGCCCACAACTGTTGAATGGGCAGCACATCACTGTTGAGATTCTGGTATATATTATTGTTGATGTTGTCTTGCCCAGACGCTCCATGTATGCAATATATGCCGATCAATTGACCCCTCTGGCACCACCCCAACTGATAGGCAGTCCTATGGCAGTCCCATGGGTCGCGTCTGGGTTGGGTTTGTTGGAATATGTTGGAATGAAGATCCATGGAAGGTCAGTTCATTCGGCTCGTGGCCACGCCGAGTCAGGTTCTTGTTCGAAGTGAGGCGCGGACGGACGGTGGAGGGGACACTATGTGGACCGCTGCTGGACCGCTGCTGGACCAATGTGGAAGGCGGCTGGACCCATATGTGCTGTGGACAAAATCCATAGCAGCAACGTCCTGTGAATGGATATGGGATATCATTTGAGGGATGTTTCTTTGTTTTTGATGGGGATCTTGATGCGGGGGTTGTTATATTTTGAGGTCGTATCAACTTGGAGGGTCGTATCAACTTGCAGGGTTCGGTTCGGCTGCCGGCCTCCACATGGACATGCCTTCAACAGCATATGTTAGCAGCTGTTGGCATAGTCCGACTGCACACTTCGGTGGTCATGGGAGAGGAAAGATCCACACTGGTTCGAATGCATTCAATACATACCTCCCTCGGGATCCAAGCCGATCCAACGAGATCGGTTATTCTCTGTCTTTGGGATTCGAAGCCGATCGTTCCTCATGTGGTGACGCATGAACCCCTCCCCTTTTGGATTGCTGCAAAAAAACCTTTAGCTGTAAAACCATGTAAAACTTTCTTATGTTGTGACATGATGATTCTTGAACCTTCAAATCAAAGCCATGAAATTCGCAGCCATGCTCTCGAGCGTGGTCTAGACACCGGATTTGTCCGTCTGTTTGTTTGGAAATTCGGAGCCATTGTGCATCTATAGAGTATTCAACTGCAAAGTAGCTCAAGCTGATTTGGAGAATTCCATCCAAAAGAATCCTGTCCTAACTCTCCCGTCTTCATTCTTCGTCTACCTATCCGGACTCTACTTGTTCAAGAGTCCGATGAGGTCAGGATCGGCACATCAAACAGATCAAACCCACGAATCAGTCAGGTTTTTTGCATTCTTCGGTTTGCCAAGCATGCCTTGGAGCCGGTGTGGCATGCCGGTCATCGATCACGACTTCGGCTCACTTCTTCTCAAACAGCAGTCCTGTGTTCGTTATTCGTCCGGCGGCGGTTTGGGACGAGGTACAAGTGGCAAACTCCTGATTTGCATCGCTCCTCAGCGCGCTATTTCGTTCGGGTTGGTGATGAGTAAGGGCGAAAAGAACCTGAGCTGCTCGTGTACTGGTTGCATGCTCTTTGGGGTAGTGCAACTTATTCTTGTTCTCCGATTCTTACAGCCTGGAGAGTGCAAGAACCCTCACTCTGGGATGAGGCTGGAGATAGACATCTAAATCTTAAACATAACTTGTCATTGACTGTTCTTGAAGGCCTCCAACATGTTGCTGCATCACTCTTTTTCAACTGTAGCAGCGCAGCCAGGCAGTTGCTCCACCCGTGTCGCCGTGTCTCAGATGTTCATGTTTCCCATGCGCAGTTGTTCATCGGAGCACAAGTTGCTCTTCTGCGGTCTTTTGATGGGGACATCAGGTACATGTCGACAGGGGGGCGTGGGGTGTACTGTTCCGGACAGTTGGACCATGTTGGACCTCTAGACACGGAGCTGGGAGAGGTTTGAGGGGTGCAGTGCGTTAGACTTGAAAAGGATTGAGAGGACTTTGAGAGACATCAAAGGCTTTGGCTCGGGGTCGGAGCCTCAGGAGCCTCATCCTCTGCTTGAGGTCAGCTCTTCGCGAAGATCCCCTTCCCCTGCGAGGGACCCACGCGGAACGATCGCATGAGCAGCTCCGTGAACAAGCAGCCCATGGCGCCTTGGAGCCGGGTCGGATCGGGCCGGTGCTGGGTGTTCAGCGGATCAGCGGAGAATAAAGACGTGGCGCTCCGATCAAGACGTGTGCGATGTTTGCCTTTTTGCAGGCAGTAGGCAGTTGAGTTTGGGCAAAAAGCTTGGTTTTCGAGACAGGTCATGTTGTCATGGAAGGAACGTCCGCTCGCGGAACCTTACTGATTTTTTTCAATGAACTCTTTGGATACTGCATCGACTACGATGTGGACAAGTCAGGTGTCTGGAGGGGTGCGCGCGAATATCTCAGTGATGGAATGGATCTCAGTTGATGTGGACCCCGGGGTCTAATTACATCGTTTTCGCCAGAAAAAAAAAAGAACAACTGAAGAAGAACATTCGTGGATACAATGATTACAAGTTCCAAGACTTACTGTGTGTATATATATATTATTAACTATATTCTACTTATATTCTAACTTGTATATAACAACAATTATAGTAGTTATATACTATATATTAATTCTTTTATGCAGTTTATATATGAACTTCCCAATTCCTGGCCACCTCGCGTACTTTTGCGTGTTCTCGCACACATCAAACGCCTGGTCATCAAGTCCGCAGCCGTTTGGGCTCGTCGTTCTGCGCTCCGATGGAAATCATTGCCGTGTCTGGTGAACCCGTCGCCCAGCTCGAGGAGGATGAGTTTCGTTCCTCGACACGAAACGACACGACTTCGGGAAGGACCGTCGGACGGTCAAGATCCGGAGGAGCATACGAGAAAAGGAATCAGTTTTCAGCATCGTCCAACCAGGGAAAGCAAGAAACACCTCAAACACGAAGAGGCAGCCACTTTTGCAGGGTCGAGTCATTGTTTGAACTCCATGGATCTCCATGGATCTCGACCGCCGATTTTGTGTGAGGCGAAAAACGACCGCCCCAAACGGCCGAGTCACGCACGACGCACGACCTTTTTCGGAGGCCGCCCATGAGGCGAAGAAGACCAAGGACCCTCACTCCAAAGGGATTCCACACACCTGGAGAGGAGCAGGCACGACCCACAAGCATTTGGATGGGGACTCGCCCATCACGTGTCTCTTTCAGGGTGATCGATGTGGATCCCCACAAGGGAAACGTGTTCGGAACCAAGCACCGGCTCCACGTTGCTCTCCATGAATCCGACGGAATAGGATCTATATACCAGGAGGAGCTCCTGGAGGTGACCTCCTCAGGTACGGCATGACTGGATCCCTCGAAAGTCACCTCAGTCCCACCGACACGAAACGAAGGTGCAACTGGAGCCCTATAGGGATAGTACATATAGGATAGCCCTAGGGATGTTGGGGACACCTTCCTGTCACACCTGGGAGAACAGTTGAAGTATGTCTATAAGTGATAGTGATCCCAAATAGAGAGTGGCACGGTTTCCAACACATTTGGAGTGGGGATTTACGTGTCTATCTATTTTTTGGGTTCGAAAAAAACAGATAAAGGAAATGAAGCCTTTGAACACACATTAAAAGAAGAAGGACGTCATGGCCTTCGCACCAGGGCGGAATATCCCCCCATGTGTCTTTGTGTTTTCACGTGTCAACTCTTTTTGGGGGGACACATTATACCAGTGCAGCTCCAGCTTGAACTGGTGGCCGTCGGCAGAGAGAGCTTCAGAGGACATTGATGGTCTAGTGTAGCCATAATACAGGCTTGTATTGCATACATAGACCATCGATGGCTATACATAGATGGCACAAAGCATGTATGCACATACCCGGAGATTGGATGGTGCAGGTGTAATCAGTATCCATATATATATATATATGTTACCCAGTATATCATAATTTTGTAATATTTTATGTGTATATAGTATTTACCTACATTGGACACCTGAAACCACCCCAATGTAGGGTAATATTCCATACATGGATTGTTAGAGTATACAAAGGTCAAGGTCACATCCAGTCCCGGACGTGCCGTTCGTCGCGAGTGCGTTTGCGCGGCTGAGGTTCCATGGTGGAAGAAGGGAAGGCGATTGGGGACCTGCAACTCAACTGCCATAGCAATTTTCGCTTCATAGAGGTTCCATCTCGGGGTGGTTCAACCTCTATATCTCGAGATACCCAGAAAATCCACGGCTGATTGATGTATTGATAGCGCTGGTTGATCAAAGATAATCCAGATGTTGATAGTTTTTAGATGTATTTTGTGGATTTTAGTGGAGTGATGCCTCAAAGAACATCCTTCAGCCAACAATTCTTTAGTTTCTGTTGGTGTTATCCTCAGCACAAGGCATTCCTGGTTGGAACTTAGGAAGCGTCTCCTAGCTGACCAATTGGGATGCTCAAGGTTTCGACAACGACTCTTCCTTCTCAACGGTGACGACGAGCTGCCGGATGACATGCTGGTGGGGCCCGACTTGTCGCACCGTGTCTCGGAGGTCTAAGACGGCGGACGACGCGGGTTCCGCCGGGCGCGGGCGACGAGTTTGGGATCGGAGCGGTGAACACCTAGTTGAACACCCGGAGTTGAAGGAAGTGCGGCACCTGAAGCACCTAGCATAGAAGATGTAGAACCATGTATACAACATATCCCGCTTTTTTCTTCCTCTAAATACCGAGTTTGCTCCCAGAACTCATCTATCCGATGCGGGAGGTCTACAGTTGGTGATTCTGAACTATTCGGTGCCAGACAGCCCTGAGCCTTTGCTTCGAGCTTGCGCCAAAAATCGTTTGGAAGAAGTGGAACGGCCACTTGACCGGAAGAGACTGACCTGGTGAGCGGGCTGTTGGTGGGAGGCAGGGGCTGTCGCTAAACCAGTTTGGACCATGGGGCAAGGCTAGGTGGTTTTGTCTTCTTTGACTTTTGGCTAGGTGGTTTTGGTTTTGTCTTCCACTGTTACTGGTCATTCAATGAGATATATTGCCCAAAGTATAGCAACTCCATGATACTCCAACTCCTGGGTCACCTGGTCACTGCTCAAGCTGCAGGACGTCCCACCAGTCGACCTGCGAAGAAATTGGGGTCATTGGTTCACACGCTGTGGCGTTTTCCGGCACACCGGGGTTTTCTGTTCCCTTCGCCTGTTGGAATTGCTTGGTGGAAACCGTCCGTTCGGCCGGTGGGCCCGTCCGAGACCGGCTGAGTACGGCAGAGTACGGCTCATTCCCAGCCGTTCGGCCATTCCAGGTGGACGAGCCTGGCTTTTGTAAAATGGGTTCGGTTCAGGCATATATCCCGTCATGCTTCATTAGCCGTTAGCTTCTTGAGGCACATATCCTGGCTTTTTTTTGCCTGGATTCAGGCATATATCATCATGGTTCTTCAGCCAGGAAGCCTTTTTTGGGGGATGAGCAACCACCTATGCCCATGGTTCTTCATGCGAACCTGCATGCAGGTTGTCATGTTCGCGCAGTGCTCGATTTGTGAACTCACCGAGCGCTCTTTGTGCGAAGACGCAGTGCGCACAGATCCAAACAGGGGTGCCAGTGCCAGTGCCGGTGCCGGCGAGTAAGGTTGGTGAACATCTAGTCACTTAGGTTGGTGGGCTAAAAACCTACTCCTTTCAAAAAACGCTGGTCCGCGAAAGTTCTTCTAATTGAATAGCAGTTTGACAGCTAGTTTTTTTCTCGATCAAGTGAGTGAGGGCAATATTGTGGTTTGGTGTCGTTATCTCGCCTAAAATCTGAGGCTTCTTCAAGAACCCTTGGATCCAGATGGAGGAGCTGCTCCACCAATTCATGTCGCCGCTCATGAAGGTCATACAGAGGTCGTAAGGTTGCTGCTGGAAGCTCGAGCTGACATGAATCTCGAGCACGAAACTGGGGTGACTGCCATGTATGTCGCAGCTCAAAACGGCCACTTGGAAGTCTTGCACTTGTTGAAGGAGTCTGGAGCTGATTGCAATCAGGCGGAGCCAGGTAGTGGTGCGCCACCCATGGCGATTGCAGCTCAAGGAGGACATCTTGAGGTCACCAAGTTCTTGTTTAAGGCTGGAGCTCACCTGGGTGAGGCGCAAAAAGCGGTCTTTGGTGCGATGGCATTGCATGGTGCTGCGCATCAAGGTCATAAGGACGTGGTGCAGTTCTTGCTGGATTCTGGAGTTGCCACTGCTTCAGCAAGAGCAGATGGGACAACTGCGTTGCAGGCTGCAGCGAAAGAAGGCCACTTGCAAGTGGTGCAAATGTTGCTGGATGCTCGCGCTGACTCCAATGAAGCGAATCGAGCCGGCAAAATGGCCTTGCATTTCGCAGCTGAGCATGGCCAGCTCAAAGTGGCGGCATTGTTGCTCCAATCGAACGCCAACATCAATGCGGCGACTCAGATTGGGACCACGGCGTTGTTGATCGCGGCGGAGAATGCCAATGTGGACGTGTTCCGATTGTTGCTGGATGCTGGCGCTGAAAAGCCGGCTGAAGCGCCGCCTTGCTTGGCGCATCCGCAAGTGCAGCGTGGCCACTGGGCCACTGCACAGTTGTTGCAGATGATCGGCGAAGGGGTCTTCGGAGCGAAACCGAATGTTGAGCAATCTGGCCAGAAACGTGACCACGAGTAGGGTTTTGCTGGTAGATGATCATCACTCAGTCGGACTTGGGTAGATTGTGGTTAGTTCTCAGTTCTCATGAGATTTCCGCTATGATCCGGTATGTGTGTGTTACCCTGTCACATGATACTTCGGGGCCGACCCGGGCAAGCGGCGGTCGCAAGAGACGGTCCGTTCGCCTCTCTCTCTTCTCACCGTCCGATGTGGTGGATGCAGAGTGGCCCCCTCGGGTGAAGAAACATCGTCCATCCATTGGGTCCTCACCATTTGGGAGCAATTCACATCAATGGTACTAAGAAGTGCTGGTTCACCATGTGCTGGACTTTCCGTGGACTCACAGAACTAGCAACTTGGGAGGGCTGCGCTGCTCCAAGTGGCCAATTTGCCTATGAACAGATCAAAAGAGTGCCAGGATGTCCTGCAGGGTGCTGGGTGTCCGCCAATCTGCCCAGAAGAAGCCCCAGAACGACGCGTTCTGTGGCTGCTTTGTGCCCTACCCCAAACCCAGGTTTTTGGGAGGCCTCTCATGAAGCGAATTTGGCGCTCGTCCGGCGAGGGACGCCTCTCAGGTCACGGACATGTCGATTTACAGGGGATGTGTTTAGATTGTGGAGTATACCGAAGGTTTTGTGGGTTTGAGGAGTCTCCAAAAGCTTTTCATCTAAAAGCTCTGCTTCTTGGATAGTGACTGGCCACTTAGTTGTTCATGATGGTCGTTCATGGTATCCGTTGATCATGTTTGATCCCCCCCCACGGTCTTTTGAAGCCCTGAACAACTACTACTTGGCTTGGTCTTGGGCGGTCTAGGCTATCGGCACCTCAAGCTTGGGCGGTCGATTCTTGGCCAACTCTCCTTGGAAAAAGACATGGTTATATATATATATATAGGTGGAGTGAATACCACCTGCTTGGTAGAGGATGTCATCATCCAAAACGCCATGGCTTGGACTGAAAAACCTTACGCTCTTGACCCTACACGCCGTGGACCCTGGCGAATGTCCGGGACCACTTGTATTCATGCCGACATGGGCAGAATCGATATGAAGAGGAAGTGTCAAAATATGTCGCACTGGTGGTTACAAGAAACTCCTCAAGTTCTAAAACTCCTGATGTTCCTGAGCGTTTTTGACGATTGCACACTCATCTCTATATTATTATTGAACTGTTATTTTAGAAACAATTGTCACCCATCCAAGAAGGTGATTTGGAGGAGCCTTCCGCTGAGCTCGGCACCAAGGACTTCTACGAAGTGAACTGCTACCGTGCCTGGGCCAAAAAGCCACCGAGCGGGACCAAGACTTGACCTCAGGGCTCCGCTTCATTTTCCCAGTCTTCACTTCCTGCCTTGGGATTGGGGACATGTCCTGCAATGATGGAAACACAGCCTCACTACTTGACGCCTTCTGACACCTTCTGTTTCAATTTCTGACATCAAGTGCGGAAGTGTGTGCTTTCCTTGTAGTCCTACCTAAAAGGAGCTTGACAGGCCAATGGTAGCCCAACCTAGCCCGATTGGCCCATCCGGCTCCGTGGTGCAGGAGCCATCAGGCTGGCAAACCTGTGTGACATACAGCAGCAGCCGCACCACCGCAACACCAAGTTACTCCTCTATACAGCGGTTTCCTGCAAGTGCATTCTAAGGGCCTCATCATCTCAGGCCATGACGCAATAGTCCGCGCAGTACTGCATTCTGCAGCTACCGGTGAATGACCTCCCCCTGGTCCCTCCAACAAACAGGTCTCTTTTCTTCCAGACTCCGCGCCCAAACAAAAGGCTTTTAGTCTTTGACCCCTTAGCCTTTCTGAATCCGAAGAACCTTCGTGTCGACCCGAACCCGGGGTGTCCGGGCGTGTTTCTCCCATGTCCGACCAGCTGCTCGACCGGAGACCGGACCGAGCTGCGCCAAGCCGAGGCATTTTGGAGTCCACGATGCCGGTGAAGTTGCCGAAGTTCTACTTTGGCGACATCAGCCGCCGGTTTGCGGAAGAAAGCGAAGTGGACGAAGTGGACGGTTTTGTGAAGTGGGTGGGTTTTCTGGTTTGAAGGGGGGGTGATGTTGGCTTTTGGGGGGCAAAAACCGTTCTGAGATTGCGGGGATGCAGAGCTGAGATCAAGGAGTTGGAGCTTCAACCGACTGGATTGCCTAAGATAGCAATCCACCTGGTGGAACCTTCGCACGTAGTAAGAACCAGGTTTTAGCCTAGCTGGGTCTTGGTAGCCTTCGAGCGTTCCAGAACCATACCTTCCTGCCTGCAGTGCTGTGCCATCGTCCAGGCGCGCTGTCCAGGCCCTGGGCCATGGGACCTGCAACGGCGGTTCACCCTCTTCAGAAGGTGACTTGTTGAGCTCTCCAGGACTAGGTGGTTCATCATGTTCCCAGGACTTCGAATCCTCTTGGAGATCGGAGATCGGGAGCTGCTCAGTGCATGGATTGTTTCCCTCTTGTCCATGTTGGATGACCGCTGCATGGTTGGATGAGGGCTGCAGCGGGACAGGCTCATTCGCAAACGCTGTGGCCGAGCGGCATGGGGCCTGGAAGCTGATCTGGGCAAAACTGGTGGAGCGCCATCGCAGAAGCTGAACGTGCGATGAAGCAGCGCCAGCCGCGCCGTCGATGCCAAGAACGCCCTCAGGAACAAGTCTTCAGCCCTGAGTGGGTCTTTGGCACCAACGGGTGGAAGCCGACATGGGGGAGAACTTCGACCCCTTTTTCATGCCTCCATCGGCCAAGAAACCAAGTTTGCTAGAAGCCAAATCCAGCGTGACTGGCTTGGCTTTCAGGAATCGGACGTCTCGTCTTGAGCGATTTCGCTGCGTGACTTGGCATCGTGCTCAAACGCTGCGAATCGACTTGGCTGTACGATGTGAATCTTGTGCAGATTTTGTGGCCGCAGCACTGGCAGTGGACCTTGAACTGCAGATGTTGTGGCCATGGTGTACCTTGACATGTGGCAGTGGCTGTACTTTAATTGGGGATGTAGTATTTTGTTGAAGTGTAGATTTCGTGTGAGGCGCGTGACATATGCGTGCTCTCGTTGTGCTATGCGTGCTTGTCGACATCTCCACCTCTATGGACTTGACTCAACCTCAAATGTCTACTACAAAATCAAGGATTCGGATTTGATACTCAAATCTTCATGCATGTTCATGCAGTTGGGGCTGAATGAGAAGAACTTGGAGAACACTGGACTTCAATCTGTTCACTTTTGATCACCTTCAAATGCCCTCAAACATCCTAAAACTATCCGACTCGGGTGATGGAAGACTCGCGTGAATCTTTCCGGCTTGGGATCGTGTTTTTTTGGTGAACATGTCACAAGCTTTTTGATGAAGGATTTTGAGGGATCAATTCATGGGATGTTGTGTCTTTTCAACTAACACAGTCACACAGTCAATTGAACATGAAGAGGAAATCCATTCCATGTGAGAAGGTTTTTTTTGGCTGAACGATCCACGGGCTTTGTGGTTCAACTGCATTCCTGGCAACGCTCATAATATACAGTGCACTTAGTTCAACATGATTGGGTGATTTTTTTGGGGAACAAATTCGTTCGGAACACCTGGTAACATGGGACGACGAAGGTCCGGTCGCATCCCCTTTCTGCTCGCATCCGACATCGACTTCAGGCAACGAGTCCTCCAATTTCATCCTCATCACTGAGCGCGTGCAGTTCGCTGGCATGCCACCCTTGCCACCGATGATGATTGAAGGTCCCTACGAGATGCTTGGAGAAACAACAAAAACATTTGGAGAGTTTGAGGGACATGTTTGAGGGGAAACCCCGTTAGCTACTGTTTGCAATGGCACCTGTAGTTGGTTGATAGACTTCCCCCCTGCGATGGCATGTTAATACCCAGAACCCCCAATCGGCCCACCATCCACCACTGCCAAAGTGGTAGAATGAGTCCGATTTGGACTGTCAGGGATAGTAAAAAGCATCCTGAATGGGTGGTGCCGTATTTGGTTCTGAAGATGTAGGAACCTCCAGGGCCCTCTCCGTGAACTCAAAAATTCGAGGTTCCCAGGCCTGAAGCCCGTGGCCCGAGATCAGATCCCAGCAAGTGGTTCTATATAACCTCCATTGACTCCCAACATCAACCAACTTGACTACTCTGGGTTTCAGAGTCCAGATGTTGTCTTCCAAGCTCCCAATCCTTGGGCGCTAAGGAAATGCAAAGACTTTGACGCTTCGCAGAGACCGACCCCACTGCTCGCGACCCCGCAGGGTGCGCAAGCGCGCAAGCGTTGAAGATGGTGGACCCCAGCAAGGCATGTGTGGGTCATTCCAAGGCGAGAATGGTCATTCCAAGGCCAAGGCGAGAATATGGCGGTTTCTCTTTTTGTAGACTTGGCCCAATAGGTAGTATTGGTGGTAGACTTGAGTCCACGGAAGTGAATCTTGTAGAAATGTTGGTCATTGTTTCTGTAGTTACCTAGGGGACAACCATAGTAACCAGATATACATTATCGTATAATATCGAATATAATCTGATGCAAATGGTCTTCAGGGGTTCCTGACCAATCCTGGATTCCTTTGGCTATCGTGGAGTCATGGGCCATGGTCCATGGTCAAACAATTTATATAACTTTGACATGTATTTTCCCAGTAGGAGCAATGAATCGCTCCAATCCGGTGTCCTTCTTTTGACTCATAGATTTTGCCTCTACATGTGAGGGAGGGGAAGATCATGTTATAGCCGACAACACGGTCCGACTTCGGCCCAGGGTGAACATCGTAGCGGACGGTGATGGACAGTGGCAGATGCTGAAACCGCCCAAAGAAAGGCATCCTTCACCAAAGCCAGGTGGCTCCTAGAAGGCACCAAGGCTTACCTTCCTTCGCTTGTCTTGCGATGAAAGACTGCCTTGCCTCTCCGAAATTGTGATCCATGTAGCTTTCAATGGCATGTGGGGAAGCAAACACTTCCAGTCAATCAGAAAGACACACAATTGCTCGACCTCCATAATAGCAACCGGGTGGTTCATTTTGGTTGCTCACCAGTCAGGGCCCCTTGTGTCGAGAGGGAGATTCGTTTGGGGAGGCAGGTTTGGACCCCCTGTGATGATTGAGCCACCAAGCTGGCATGATCGAAGCCTCACATAGAAACCTATACCAGCGCCCTCCAAGAGGTCCTTTGGTGGCTTTTGGGGATTTAAAAGTGGCAGCCGGTGTCCTGTTGGAGGGTACTAGAAGCCATATGTGTCTTTTTGGAGGGCCACTGCTCACCTGTCCTGACGATTCCCATGTTCGGGACGGCCCTCCTTTCCGATGGTCGCTGGAACTCCCATGAGCGCTATAAGGACATGGGGGGGCAGTGACAAAGAGCACTATGCCTTGCTGTTCAAAGTCCATGCGACGTGGGTCGCAGTGGAGCGGGAAAGTCTGAGCGGCGGTGAAGTCTTGACCCGACCCCGACCCTTGCTGGCCCCGAAGTGGACGATCCCCTTGCATCCCAAAGAGGATGTCATTCTTTGTTCCAGGGGCCATGCAGTGAACTTCCATGAGGGTTGTTGGGAGGGTAGAGGAGCCTCTATCCAATCATGCAAGTGGAAGGCATGCCTTTTCAAGGCACGCTCCTTTACAAACAGGTTTTGTTTCATGTCCCTCTTTCATGAGCCTTGGATGGAGGCCTGCTAGAGTCTAGAGAAATGGTGCCTGAACCAAGCAGTTTGCAGGTTTTTCCACTGGGAGTGTCATAAGAAAGATTTATCTTTATCCAGGTGTTGCTTAGGTTATTTGTTGTATATATATATATGTTGTTATATATTTTCTATTTTCCTATATAGGTCAATCTCCTGCTGTTTTGGGGTCATTAAACATCGATCTTTCCCAGTTCCTGGAGGAACCAAGCGCAAGTCCTGTGCTCTGAAAAAGTGGAACGGGCAGCAGAACTGCTTGGTGCTCAACTGCTACGTCTCCAAGTTTGTTTGATGGACAGACCAAGAGAGAGATGCTTTAAACCTGAAGTTCTAGCCTTTTGTCACCCATCGCCTGGAGGGTACCCATAACCTTCGACACCTGAGGTACCTCCCATACTTCTTGGGGTTTTGGTCAAGCTCGTAGGGAGATCCCACGGTCGAACGCCTCGACTCTGCTCAATGTGTGGACCTGTGGACCGACCCGCGAAGGTTTGGGATCGGGAGGAGCTCCATTGGGGATGTTTGATGTGGAACCCACATGTCATGGGAAGATTAAACCAACCAAACACATGTGAAAGAAGAGCATGGGGGGGTACTACAGGATCGGACTGTGGAAACATTTGCATGATGAGCCCCCCCCAATGAACCACAAACGCTCGGGGAAAGCTAGATTTTACACAGAATCCGGCTCCACGGCCCAGGTCGTCGTGTTTTTCATATGTTATTCGCTGAACTCAAAACGATAGATGAGATCAGGTCCCCATGTGTGTATCCAGGTGCATCCAGAAGTCCTGAAGGAGATCGGGACGAAAAGTGGCAGTGTTGATCAAGACATGTGCCCAGCCAGCTGGTTTTCCCAGCCTGTTCGGCATTCGCTAGCCCTCACAACTAGGTGCTTTGAGTAACGGCAGTGGCAGTTCTAGATCTGGACATGTTGAATTACTTGTAGGGGAAGACCTATACAGACCCTATCGGATTTCATGCCGGACCCTGCGTCCGGACTACGCTGGTCAAGCGACCCACCAGTCAGGTTCACGTGGCCCGGGTCAGGCGACGTCATCTCTCAAGGATCAACCTGCGATAGTTTGATGAGCCACTCCCTTGATGAGCCACTCATGTCTTAAACTCCTCATGCTTCGTCCGCAATAGTCTTGCAATATACCCTCCCAACAATCTTGAAAGTGGAAAAGCTGTTTGTTTGTCGTATATATATATATAGACGCGTAGAGGAAAAGGATCATGGTTCCACTTGCATGTTTGTTGGATGGAGGGCAAACACTGATTGAGTGCATGGCTTAGCACGAGGGTGGCTCGAAAACCAGCTTCTCACTCCGAGCTGCTTTTCCTGTTTGATCCCGTTTTTCGCTTAGAAAGTCGTTGCATTTTTCCTGAGGCGCGCATTGCGGCGGCGCACAAGTCGGGGCAGATGGGATCGGAAGAGATGTTCCACGTCAATGCACTGAAACCGCGAAAACGTGCGCCATGGGTCTTCGTCGTGGGAAAGACATGCACCAATGGGAGGAAGTCGAAGACATGATTTTGCTATATATAGACACTTAATTAAACAGGAATAATCCTGTCCACCTATTAAAAGAACACGCGGCCCCCCCCTAATAAGGAAACCTCGGTCGCATTTCTTTTTAAAGGAAACCTTGGTCGCATTCTTTTTTAAATAGGGGGTCCCTGAATTCGGGGTTGTCCAAAATAGGGTCACCTGGGAAGAGCTTCAAAACCAAAAAGACACGCAGGAAAGTTTTAGATTCTAAAGCTCGTATCAAAAATTCAATAGAAACCTCCAGATCGAAGGGTCTTCTTTTTCCCCTACAAACACCTTTATTGGTTGTTCTTGGAGCCTAATTATTTTTTAGAAAAAAAATACCCCAAAAATCGACAACATATGTTCATGGATTCTGATAGTTTGGTTTTGGAAACTGATAGTTTCATTTCTTGTTGTTATGAGCCTTGAACTACAGATCTGTAACCTGTCTTGTTGTTCCTGGACACCCTGGGTTGTTTCATGATGGTGTTTCTTGACCATTCCCTTCTTTAACCTTGGAGTTCCTCCATGTTGCAAAACACTGCAAGAAAAGTTTTGAGATGCTTACAGTCTTTCACTGCAATTGAACAAATAGTGAGCCACAGAGACATGGACTGTCAAGTAAACATGCAATGATTGTGTTTTTCAAATCTTTGCACTAAGTTTTGGGGGGGCATGTTTGCACACATTTGGATCTCTCAGGTTCTATTTGTATATGTGTGACATTTAGATGGGTATCAACAGTATTGATCAATGGCTTTCTGACCATATGTTTGTATTTTAGTTATATCCATGGCATGGCTTCTCCATGCCATGGCTGTAATATTAGGCATTGTAAATTGTAAACATTTACATAATCCTTTCATGACCTAAGATTTGATAAGTAAAGGGCAGTGCACTGCACATACCATGTGCCAGCTGTTTGCCTCATTCAGGAACCTGGAGCAGCTAAGGACCCAGCAACTAAGGCACCCACCCACCTTCACTCTCACTCACGCTCACACTCACACTCACTCACTCACCGCCACCGCCACCGTCACCACGATCCCCACCTTCATCACCACCATCACCTCTCTGGACCCAATGCGTCTAGATCTCTAGACTTTCTGCTTACAGACCTCACACACACTGTTTGGGGTCTCTTGCCGGGATAATTTTATAGTAAATATAATATCCATGGCTTGGTTGCTCATGCTGTGGCAATATATATATATATAGTTTTTGTTTCATATCCATGGCATGGTTTCTCATGCTGTGGCAACATATATATACATATATTTCTATATATATTTAGTTGGTATGTTTCCATGGTTCTAGAATAGTATCTATGATATCCATGGCATGGTTTTTGATGCCATGGCTATGTATATGTATATATGTGCCTAGACTCTATGTTTCAACATGTTTCAATGTTTATACCCATGGTGTGGCTTCTCCATATCTAGTTGTTTTTAACCACTGGGTGACATGAGGTTTGACAAGTCAAGGATACTGCACTTCACATACCACATGTTTGTTGAACAGTGTTGGCTCCACTGCCAAGACACTGAAGCTGCAGCTGTGCTCACTGATTGACCTGTAGTTTTGAAGCATGTCCATGCGCACAGCAACAAGTTTTTCAAAAAAAAAGCCTGGATGTTTGTGTTGCATGTATTGTGGATGGTCACATGTGAGAACTAAGCTCAGGAGCAACTTGGACCCGGACACTGCAGCTGTTCTCGCAAAGGCCACTGAGCAACCTGTAGTTTTGAAGCGTGCTCATACTCACAATGAAGCAGAATGATTTTCTTGTGCAAAGCAAACGCCTGGATTTTGTGTTGTATTTACTGCTGACACACAATCACATGTGAGATTTTCTTGAGAAGTGAATGACCACTTTCCTCTCTTTTTCACTTTGCCCTCATCTCCAAGGTTCTTTGACTTTTCTCTGTTCTCCACTCCCCTACAGTTGCAAACAGCGCACTGATCCCTGCTATCGCTGCCTGAGAAGTCGCTTGGGATTCAGTAATAGCTACATTCACTCGATGAGCTCGAGGAGCTCGATGAGCTTGAAGGCTTTGCACGTCCTGATGAGCTTGTCTCACGCCCCCCGAGTGTATGTTTTCTTGCTGCTTACCCTTCGCCTTTGCTTTGGGTTTTGGTGCAACCCTGCTCTTGTGTGCTGCTTTCGTGAGGAGTGGCTGCTTAATGAGATTGATATCGGGATTCGATATCTGGTATACCAGAAGGCGTTGAAGTCTATACTTATGAAACCTAACACACACACAGAAGAGGTTCGAGATGGAAAAGTCAAAACAAAAATATTCAAAATATAGACAAACACAAAAAACAAACCTAGACTCAGCCCAAAACCAGAACTCAAGACCAAACACAAAAAACACACTCAACTGGAGACTCAAGTAGCAGAAGGTTGAACGGAGGAAAAAAAGCAAATCCGGACTCAGCAACAGAGAATTTGAGTCTGGATTTGAGTCTAATTGTGTTTTTTTTGGAGTCCTGTCCTCAGTAGACCTGTTCTCCTGAGTGTGGATTTGTTTTTCCTATTTTTTTATGTTTTGAGTTTTTGTTTTCTTAATGTGTTAAAAGGATTTTGGCTCTGTGTGTTCAGTTCAACTTCATAAGCCTATAGTGAGATGCTGAGGATAAAAGCGCAAGCGAAAGCTCCAGGAGCAATAGAAAGAGCCGCAAATTGCGAGCAAACAGGCTGGATGCTGCAGCTTTTGGCACACTAAATTGGCGGAAGTCGCCTTGATTGATCTTTGTATAGCATGGCAAAACTGCAAGGCGGCAGGCCCAGATAGGAGGCTTAACCCTCCTATAGCAGCGCGCATTCCGGTGGCTATCATGAAGAATCTCCGCTCGGCCCTTAGGGCCTCGGGAGCTTGTGAATGGGCTGTTTCGCCCATTATTTATTTACACTTCTTGGGTTGTTGCACCTGCCACGGACGCCACCGAACCATCCTGGAACGCCACCGACCTGGAACGCGGCCGAGGTTTTCTTTGGGGACCATCCGTAGGGCCGTAATGAAATGCCGTGAGGGCCCTTTGAAGAATTCTAATTAGTATTGAGTACTGTAATTAATATGCGCCAAGCCTCCACTAACAGGTGCTTTCATGTGTTTTCACTCCGGACAGTGATTTTTTGTGTGCGTGTGTTATTTTTTTGGTGGTAAAGTAGCTTCAGAGCATAAATTGATCCGTTGATTCCCATTGAACAGTTCAAGGTCCCTGCGAGTGTGTACCCTATCAATCAAATCTAACATAATGAACTAACATCGGGGTTGTCCCATTGCCTGCAACAGTCGGAAACAACTATCAGGTCACCATTTAGAGAAAGGCCCTTACTAACCATCACCATCCACTGTTACAGCTGACCGGATATACCCAACACTATAACATTTTGTGTTTTCCTAAGCAAGACCCGCTTTGGCAACAAGCCTTTCTCCGAAAAGACTCAAAGGGGGAGGCTCAATGGCACTGCTCCGTGCGAAGCCGCGCAGAAGGGCCAGAACA